ATATATATATTTTTTACTCTTTCTGGTTAAAGCGTCCTCCGGGTATAGCGACGTAAAATCGACGGTCCCTTGAGTGTTGCTATAACCGGATTCTACTGCATTTATATTTTTTGTGTAAAATTATATTTATATCGGAATATTTTTTGCCCAGATATCGATCTTTATACGATATTTTTTATATATTTGTGTTAGTCACTGTTGTAATTAGTGAACCAACCGCAAAAATACAAAAATATAATATGATGAAAACGTATTATTCTGACTTCAATTCAATATATGCTTTATTTCCAAATTATTGCATGTTACATGTAGGTAACAGGCAGAAGGAGGCGTGGCAGACCCCACAAAGTATATATATTCTTGATCAGGGCGACGAACTGAGTCGATTTAGCTCTGTCCGTCTGTCCGTATGTTTGAACGCGTCGATCTCAGAAGATATAAGAGTTAGAGACAAATTTTTTTCCTAGGTCCGTGTATACCACGCGGATATCGAGTTTTGCCTCAAAAATCGATAGCTTGCCACGTTATTTTGCTATCGATTAAAAACATTATAGAAAACCAGTAATAAATGTATATGTCCAACATCTTTAAAGCTAGAGTCCCTTAATGTTTTATGTATACTTATATGCATTTTATACAATTTCGGTTTTGTCAAAATTTACCCACCTCTAATTCCACCCCTCACCATTACAGTTGAAAAAGACGTATTTCAAATACAAGAGACTTGTGCATTGGCAAATACATGCATATATATGTAATATTAATAATCTGAAAGTTTCATGTAAAGAGTCCATCCACAAGAAGAGTTATTAAACAATTAAGTTCCCATAGTAAGCCAACACTGCAGCGAATGCGTGTTTAGGCGTGGGTGCTTGTGTGCGCGTATGTATATGTGTATGTGTGTGTGTGCAAAAAATGATTGAAATAGCTATTGCTCAAAGGGTTCAGGGGATCTCGTAGTCAAACAGTCTCGACTAGAGCTTTCTTACTTGTTTAAATGTAAAATTTGTTTTCATTATTGAAAAAAGTGATTATAGGCTTTCGAAAATTTTGTGATTATTTCATAAATCTAGAATGCCTAAAGTTTACTTTCAAAATTTCTCGAATTTTTAGTTGCACTCTATTTTATGATAGTAGTCGCGGTATAGATGGCCAAAGTAGTAGAAGCAGAGGAAACTGCAGATTTTGAGACGGCAATTTCAGCATGTGGCTTCGGTGTATTTAATGTTATAATTATTGTCTGCGCGCTCCCCTGCTTAACATCAATGGTATTCTCTGCCTCGGTGATATCTTATGTGATGCCAACGGCTGAGTGCGACTTGAACCTCAGCGTAATGGACATGGGAATGCTGAATGCGATGACCTATTCAGGTAAATGATATCGAATAGATATTGAGACGATAAAGGGCGACTTCTAACTGAGTTTTCTAGGCATGATTTTATCAGCCATACCGTGGGGCTTTGTATCGGACACACTCGGTCGTCGCCCGGTTCTAATCTATGGCGGTTTCATTGACGGTATCTTCGTCCTCTGCTCGGCCCTAAGTCAAAATTCAATCCAATTGATGATATTTAAATTCTTCGATGGACTAGCGTGGGTATCAAGCTAGTCTTATATGCTGTCCTTGGCCCAATTATATCTACTACCTTCCTGCAGTATCTGCGGCCCCTTTGCGGTTGTCATCAGCTATCTGGCCGAGTTCCATGGCCAGAAGCACAGGCACTATATAATGTTCCTTATCGGCTTATGTGTTTCCGTTGGAGCAATGACATTGCCATTACTGGCCTACTTAATACTGCCACGGCACATTTCTTTTAAATTGGGAGCCATGAAGTGTAAGTTGAGTCCTTATACTTGCTGTCGGCTTTTCTCGACTGCAATGGTGTTTCTTGTGCTCATAATTTTCCTTTTCAGTTCACACATGGCAGGTGTTTTTGGCTATTTTGGCTCTGCCAACTTTTTTAAGTGGACTTCTGCATATCTTTCTGCCGGAAAGTCCCAAGTTTCTTATGGCCCACGGCTACTACAGCAAAGCGTTAGAATGTTTTCAACGTATTTACGCAATGAACAAGCGCACAAGCCGCAAAGCTTATCCGGTAGGTTATAGGTTATTGGGTCATCTGAAGTTGAATGATCTTATTCTAATATCGGCAATCCAGATCAAAAGTGTGAGCGATGTTAAGCCAGAGCAAATGGAAGAAAATCAGTTATCGGTGATGCAGAGGTGCCGTAAGGCTAAGTTTATATTTTGTGAAGGACTAAAGCAGCTGAAACCAATGTGCAAATGCCCTTATCTGGGAGTGTCCATTCACGTTTATCTGCTGCACTTTTGCCAAATTATGTGGTAAATATTACAAATAATTTTTTAACAGCTATTCTTTACTTCTGCATATATACATATACAATTACATATACAATTTACTTATTTAAAAACTTTTTTGAAATCTGATCAATATAATCGATTTCTATTATTGTAATACACTTACGTATTGTATTTATATTTGAGCGTTTATCTTCGTAGTTTAGCACGTTACACTAAGCAAGAACATGTAAATAATCTTAGGAAAATATTTTGAAAAAGAAAGATATTTATCAAAAATACTTACTAAGAAATTAATATGATAAAAACTATTAACAAAACTGGTTAAGGATATTTTGAATGAAACGTTTCAGCCTTAAGAAATTTGAATAAAATATTAATTAAGAATTAGTTTGATATTGTAAGATACTAATTATTTACATAAGAATTATTAATTTATATTATTTATTATTTTGCAATTTAAAGCTTTCAAGGTTTTCATTTTAATCTCGGTCTCTACACACTGATACTTGCAGTGTAAACTCGATTCGTTTGTGGATGCCAAAAATCTTTGCCACGATGCACGCCTTTGAGGTGAGAGAATATGCGGATCGGAGCATGTGCGCAGTCCTCAAGCACAATTCCGAAATGAACTTCACAAAGGAGCAGAAAAGTCAGGAATGCGACATAGTAGGTAGGCGATTTGTTGGCCCAAAATTTCAAGCATTAAAATAATGAACCTGCTCATACAGCATCAACAACCAGGATCCTACACTGACAATATCATAGTTTCAGCCATTGGTCTTCTAGGATTTTTAATTGTTTTTCCCCTGCTGAGCTTTCAAGCATTCGCCAGCCACATGCTCAGTAAGTTTACCTCTATTTTAACATTAACATAACCTCTATTTTAACATAGGGCGCCCCACCTAACTAGACAAAAATTTGTTTTTTCCAGAGATCAGTCTGTTTGTAGCAACAATCCTCGTCGGGGGGCTGTACTTTACCAACTCGAGTCTCTCGATGCTTCTTATCTCTGCATTCTATTTAATGGTCATGGGGATCTGTGCGTCCACTATTATAAGTATGACTGTGGTATATTTTCCTACTTTGGTAAGGTATGTATGTCGAAAGGTCGAATTGAGTAGCAAAAAGTCGACTTCGGCTCATTGCTTGTAAGGGAGATGTGATATTTGTTTTTGCAGATATTTTATCATTTAGTCCATATACTACATTCACAATCTTTTTATTCCCCTTTGTAGAACAATAGTTCTGTTACTAATTATGACATTCGGACGTTTGGGTTCGGTAACTGGCAATATATTATTACCATTATTTATCAAAATCAACTGTTGGGCACCTTTTGTTTGGCTTACTTTTCTAATGCTGCGTAAGTATAAATAAATATTTTCTTACACAAATCTGTTAATATTCTGTAATTTTGTATTTTTTATAGTATCATTTGTAATGTCCTTGTTCCTGAAAGTTAATATTAAACAAGCACTTAACTGACAACAATGTATTAATAAAATTTAGTAATAATTTATAATACTATTATTTCATAGAAATCTATTGTCAAATATAGAAGATATATCAAATTGGCATCTTGCATTATTCCTTATACATATGTTTTAATTAATCAAGTCAGGCGAGTGTACTTTGTCATGACGACAAAGTAAATGCTGCACCTGGTCCTCGATGCCCTACTCAAAGTCTGACCACAAACAGCTGTCCCATGCTAATTATATTTGTAATAGCTCACAAATTGGATTGGAGTATATAGACTTTTTTCTGTGATAAAAGACTTAATAAACTGGAAAAGAGGCAGTTCCGAAAGGATCCATTAATGAAAATATGATTTACCAGTTCTACAAATACTCATAGATAATTTGTTTAGTCCTGTATTATCCAGTCGGCTGCACTCAACTAATACTCTTTTAATTTTTATTTGACTTCAATTAATAAGCACACGCAAAAATGAATTCTGATTGCGCTTGAGTAAATTTTAATGTACAATAGAAAAGAGTGATAGGAGAGGAAAGGGTCTTGTCTTTTGTTACAGTTTTTCTCGAAGTGGTGGAGTGAGTAAAATCAATAAAGACTTTTGCTCAGTGTCATTAAATGAAAATGTATTCTTAGGTTAAACCTATTTTAAAAAATCTTTAAATTCATCCAAGATTTATAACTAAGAGAGGAAAAACAGAGGACAAAAAAAAAAGTATATCAATTTCTGTTGTTGAAGTGGTCATATTTTCTTCACTCTTTATATTTTCTGTTCAGCAAAAGATGAAAAGTGTTGAAAGAGCGCTGAGCAATCAGCTCCATTCCAACCATTTCACATGAAAGCTATTTCTCAGTCATCAAAGCAAAGTCAATGGTAATTGACACAAGTTTCCTTGTAAAGTGGAAGTGTTCTTTGCCGTTCCATTCGCTTAGTTGGTATCGAAATTAATAGTTTAGGATTTCCATTCAGACAAATAGATTGTCCATCTAAAGGCATTTGACAAAGTTGTGTCGAATAAAAGTCATTTATTTGAGCATTTCAGAATTAAATGTAGTTTGCCCAATATGTAAACGTATTTGGTTCCTATTTATTTTATTGACAAGTGTTTATCCAATCAATTGAAATAAGAATAGAAAGATCCGACGATTTTTTGACATTCCTACTAATTTTGTTTATTTATTTCGTTCACAGTTATTATATTATTTATTTATTTTAAAGTCGCATCTTATTTACTATACGTATATCAGAAGCCCCCTGAAATATTTCGTTGCCTGCTTCCAGCATAGATATAAAACGTTTTAAATTTCTCTCCATTTCATATAATCTTTTGTTTCCCTTTTGGATTCAACTCAAAACTGAAATCATATGCGATAGCCAAAAAGTTTAATATGAATTTATGAATTTTTGTCCAAAAATAGAGACAAAAGTGAGGAGGAACTTTACTGATAGCAGATTCCTTCACGTGTACGTTGCATTAGACTAATATAGTATTAATACTTGCTGAAATTATTTTCTAAAGTACAAATGCTTGTAAAAAAAAAAGAATCTGAATTCCGAAAAACATAAAACTTTGAATAGTTATAATAATGTATCATATTTTTTATAGTTCAGCCATAGTATTTAATCCTTGTGATTATAATGCATATTTAATATATGTATTAACATACAAAAATGGAAAGTATGATTTATTACGCTGCCAAATATTTGATTGGTAAAAGTGTAACGTATAGTATGGGGGTGTGTGTGTGTGTGTAAGCTGTAACATTAACACCACAACAACCAATGCGCATAAATTTTACATAATAAACATGTTGGAAACATCATGAATATAAACAAGAGGGCAAATGTGTTAGGGCGGGATAAGATATGTAAGTGTGTCTGGATGGTTGCGAGTGTGTGTGTGTGTGCGTGCGTATCCTAGGCCGTATGTCATAAACTAGCGCAAAAACAGGAGTGCATATGCCTGCGTATAAAAAAGCTATTCGCACACACGTGTGTGCGTGTGTATGCGTCAATGTGTGGGTATGGAAGATGCATAAATGTCGAAATGGGCAGTCGTAATATAAAGTGCGCTAATACAAGGACACACTCACTTGCAGATAGAGACACAAACACATAAACCGCTAGGTGAAGTGTGAAGTAGACTCTCAAACATTTGCAGACTTCAGCCAACACAAATACAAAGGCCAGAGAAAGCCACAATCAAACAAGACACTTGTACATCCCACACATTGGCGCTAGAGCACGGTCCACTGTCCTTGTCCATGTCCTCTATAATGATTTACAGGTCATTCATCATATCCACACGCAGATGAGAAAATTATTTGCCGCAGCCGCAGCCTAAACAACGCCAAAGCCGATGGCAATAAGTGTAAACACCAATGGCAACAACAGCAACAATGATGCTAGCAAATTAGAGAGCATTGGCTCGCGCACTCTCTCTCTTTCCTTTCGCGTCTGCAATAAAATGTTGCCAACTCCTTAGCGACATACTGCGAACTCCTTAGCAACATGCTGCCAGCCATTTATTACTGGCGTCTCTCAACAGGTTGTGCTTTAATGTTGCTAAGCATGTGCCTCTGCAAGGCAGATGTCGATGTTGCGTTGCTCATGACTACACCGCTTTGGCAATAGCGGCAGAGATTTTGTAGTCGCAATGTGGAACGCAGCAGTCGTCGGCAACACGCTTAGCTCTAAAGGTCGCGTGCGAGCACGGCATCTATCCTGTAATTGTATTTCGCTTTGCAATTGTACTTAAGTGAATGTGCGTTGTTGTTGATGTACCTCGAGTTGACAGTGAACGAAACAAAAGATTTAAGCAACAAAATAATAGTAGTCATGTAAATGCTGAAAATAAATTAATTAAATGGATTTAGTGTAGTTTTAAATATATGTTGAGCGCTTAAAAATGTACCGTTAAATAAATAAATAAAAATATAGGCAAATATATTAAAAAGCTAAAGTATAATTATTCAACTGCAAGTCAACAATTATCAGTAGTGTTTTATAGTTATATAAAATATTAGATAATATTTGATATTTAATTAGAAAACAAGTGTTATCAAATAACTAAATTAAATAAATTACTTGTGAATAAGTGTGAAAAAATATAATCCTAAAATATTTATTAAAAATCGTTTAATAATATTATTACGAATATCATAAAATATCATACATCCACCTTAAGTAGATTACATGCTGTTTTCAAAATGATAAGAAATTAGTAAACTTTTTAAATGTGAAATATTACTTTGTGTGCTTAACTTAAAGAAATTAAATTTTTGGCGCTCTATTGAGATTTAATTGTGTGTTATAATTTTATAAGAAGCAGAATTAAATTAATATAATATTTTAAACAAAAAAGTTAAAAAAAAACTTTAATAAAAAAGTAGCGACGGCTGTGTATACGATATATTTAAAAATTAATTGAATTCAGGAAAAGTGTCAGCAAGTGCAATGCGTCAGAGCGACCCCGATATTTTTTCGATTTTTTCGGCTCATACTACGGAAATAGTTACTTGCCACGCCCAGGTAGTGGGAAGGCTTAAGTATTCATAAAAGCCGATTAATCTTTCGCCCACAAGGACTTCCAACATAAAGCACAGAAGTTGAGCATAGAAGGGATAATTAAGCCCCCCAAAGTGGCATTTACAGCTCCTGCATCCACTTTTGGAACTCCTCCCTCTGCTGCTGCTGCTGCTGCTGTAGTCACCCAAGCCCTCTTACCTACGCGACCAGCCATATAGCGCTCTTTCGAAGAGCAGTGAAATAAATTGACGCAACCAACGATTAACGGTTCCCCCCTCTTTGCACGTCACTCTCTCCCCTCGTACACAAAAGATAATGTCGGAAATTGTGGATACTGAACTGCTGGTGAACTGCACAATTCTCGCCGTGCGTCGCTTCGAGCTGAACAGCATTGTGAACACAACGCTGTTGAATAGCCTCAACCGTACCGAGGTGGTCAGCCTTCTATCCGGCATCATCGAGAACCGAGATAATCTCGGTAGCATCAACGAGGCAAAGTAAGTTGTCAATGGGGAGGGCCGTACCCAAGGTACAGACAGACATGAAGTCTTAATTTACCTTCCAAATTTAGTTCCCATCTTGATAAATGTTAATTTAAATGACTTAATTTCAATTCGATTTACTATTTTATATACATATATTTAATTATAATTATTTCTTTACTCCGACTAGAATCTAAACTACAATTTAAATTGAATTTTTTGCGATCAGAGCTAGACCGCTAAATCCGGATCTATCGCTTTGTGAGCCTTTACCATTAGTATAAATTGTTTAATTTAGTAATTGGGTGCTACGAACAGCAAAATAATTTAAAATATTAATCTAATGAATAATAAGGTGCAAATCAATAGAGGATGCCTACATTACAGTTAGTCTTTAAAACGTAGAAAATACACGTTTTCCCGATTTGCCACGTCCCTAATGGGCGTAGATGTATCTGTGTGCATATGTGCCTAATTTCAAGTGTCTAACTTCAATTGCGACATTTAGATGGACAGACGAAATGACGGACAGACGAACATTTCACAAAATCAACATTTCATTCGTGAATGACAACTTACAATAAGATATTCATGATACAAACAAAAATATAATAAAATATATATATAAGTAAACAACTAAAGAATGACAACAAAAAAAGAATGGCACTATACAATTGAATGAACAAATTAAGGCAGCCGCCGACAATACAGAAATCTATTGTAGCATATAGCGTTGAAAGCGGGCACTAACCAGATATTAAAAGCACAGTCATCCCACACTGTCATGGGCAGCATTATTAAAATGAATATTTGATGAATATTCTATATGTAATTGGCACACCTGTTAGCCGAATACTTATTTAGGGCTTAGAGAATAGCGCACATGTATGGCGGAAATAAGTAATAATTGGTTTATGATGCATATTTATAACAATTGATTAAATAAAACCTGCCAGCAACCATAAAAAAGTGTCAAATGAAGCTAAAACCATTTTTATTTTGTTTTTCATTGAGCTATCCACAAACTATTAATATAAATTAGTTGAATATAAATAATTGATAAATACCAGCTCTTTACGGAGAACAAAGCATATTTTTCGTGAATATGTTTTGGCCGTTGCTCACCCGATTCCACTTTACCTAGTGAAATATTTAAAGAAGCTTATAATAAATTAAAAATGTTTTAAAATTCTCCAGTACCTAACGAGATTGCCTTTAAAACCTTTTATTTAATTATTTTTCACGAATGCTGTTACAGAAATGAACAGTTACTCACCAAAAGTGAACGATATCAAACATGTGCTGAAAAGTGCAAACGAAATGTAGTGCAAATACAAGTAGTGACTCGAACTGAGAGAAGTGTAGGAATAAATGTTGACAGAAGCAAGTAGGAACCTAGTAGACAAGACTCGACAAGTCTACAACTACAAAGTGGGTTGGGACCATTTTCACACCAATTCACGTCATAACATAACAGATTAAAGTTTAAGCTTTTGCAAGTTTTCTACGAAAAAAATGTTTGCTTTTTAGCTGTGCGTCTAAAAATTTTATTTCAAAAACAAATTTGCATATATACGTCAGAGTTCGAGCTGTGTATATCGGGTGTCTCCAATTTCTAGTAATTCTGAATGAATTGTCTATAGAATTAAGAAACAATTTATTGGCATTTTTATTTGAGTCCGAACGACTACATGGCTTGAAGTACACTTTATAGAGATGTATTTTATGAAAGTCTTTACCAAAGTAAATAAACTTAGCGTATCTAATTGGGGAATAGGCTTATATGATTCATAGCTCAGTTCTAAATTAACTCAGTTGTTAGTATGTCATAAAAATATTTCCCTGATCAATAATTTTTTGTGAATTTCGGATATACAAGTTAGTTTAGGGTCTTTGTAAGGTATATGTGTGTAAAGTTTCTAGAGAAGCTTGTCAAAAGTTGTTTAAGTATAAGTCTATCAGTATACTCTCGATCCTCTGTTTAATTATCATTAACACTAATAATAATAATAATCTATATTAAACAGACCGTATATTAAACAACTGTTACATGTATTCGACGTGGGCCTTAGTTTAGTTTAGTTACCCCGAAGAACTCAATTATCTGAAGCATTCTGTTCTAATTATCAAGCGAATTGTTCCATTGCTAGACTGATGCAAATAAACTTAATAAGTACAGCACTCACACATTAAATCTTTCAAACTGCTCCTATCCAAATAACTTTTGAGACTTCATGTACTTTAGCAATTAAACCATTCAATGGTTCAATACAAAAATCTCGGAGCACGTTTTGTAAAACTTTTTCCATTATGCCGATTTGTATGCTGAGGGCGAACGGCAACATTAACAATGTGTTCATTGAGCGTGCATGGCTAGAAGATACTCATTGTTTTTCACACGATATAAAATACGAATCTTTACAAGTTCAATTAAAAGTTTAACTTAAAAGTAAATTACTTGTTTTAAGGCTTTCTTTATCTATCTGTCGCATAGCATACATTCACAAGAAGTTGATACACTCTCTGGGAATTTGTATGTGCATCGCATACAAATTTAAAAGCTTTTATCAATGTAAACCAAGTGCGATAGTCCAAATAAGTTTAAATGCATGCAAATTCGAATGTAATTCTAATAAAATCAGTTTCAGATGAGTTAAACGAAATCAACTCATAAGTATTCATGGGGATAGCAATAGAAGTTTTATTAGAATTGTACTTTACACAGTAAAGGCTACACATATCTATTGAATTTATTTCATTTTATTATATTAAAACGCAAGTAGATATATTTTAATCATATATATTGTCTAATCTGTATAATTTAGTTAAACTATATTAAAATAAAATGCCCAATAGAGGCCCAAGTAACATATAATTATATGTATCGTTTCATTACTGTTGGAACTAAATTTGTATAGTATAATTATAATTA